GCAAGAACACTAACTACAAATACAATATCTGGTCTTATAGATGTAGCTAAATACAAAAGTGCTCCAACCGCTTTGAGGTATGGATATTGATCTCCAAATATTTCCTCCTCCTCACATGGACGGTATAGATCATGACCATCACAACCACGTCCAATCATTGGTGTGAACAATGGATAAGCATCAATCATATTAAATCTTCACAAAATTCATGTAATATACGTTAGTTGGTAGAAAAAAATGCTACCATCTGTTAGATATATAATCTGAAGACCAATGTAGAAAGTTATTATTTTTAGCATTTTTATTTCAAATTCACATATAAGTAGGTTAGTAGCTATAACACATGCAGATGTAGTGCCTACTAGGTTAAGATCATCAACATATACAACAATGATCACAAAACCAGTTTTATCTCGTTTGATAAACAAACAAAGAATTAGTGGATCACTCACAAATTTATTTGTAATTAAATAATCTCAAAGACATTGATACCACATGCGTCCGGATTGTTTTAAACCATACAAGGCCTTACATAATTTAATACCATGATATTGTCTTGGAGCGGGTCCATTTGGAGTTCCTATTTCTAAGCTAGGTGGAACTTTTATATAAATATTTGCATTAAGAGAACTATATAGATATGCAGTTACTACATCCATCAGATGTATCTCAAGGGTGGCATGAACTGTCTTTCCAATAATATATCAAAATGTAATTGAATCCATGACTGGAGAATATATAGATTCATAATCAATGCCAAATCATTGAGTAAATCCTTGAGTAACAAGACAAGCTTTATAGCGGATTATTTGACCTTGAACATCTCGCTTGCATATTAATATTATTTTATATGCCACAGGGTGAGATATAAGAGTGTCTATAATTGGACCAAAGACTTTCCTCTTACACAAAGAGGCATACTCCTCTTGAATTACAATTTTTCATTTTGACCAATCAGAGCGACGCATCACCTTCTCGATGGTTTGAGGTTCATGATTGTCTTTCCCGCAAGAAAGGGCTTCTATAATCATATATGCAAATGATTCATCTACCGTAATAGATGGTCTATTCCAAATATCATCTGTAGCACAATACAGAATAAATAATTCTTTTGTTCTTATTCCTTCCAATTCCAAGATTGTTTTTTATAGGAATTGAAGGTACATTATGCATGGATATATCATCATGAATTGGTAAACGTTTGTAGTGCTTCAAATATGAGTACTTTATTTCTTTGTTGATTGGATACTCTTCCTTGAAGAGATGGGAATACATTTTCTTCAAAACGGCAATTTTGCAAACGTGCATGTAATAATGTGCCACTTGATGGATCAACAAAATGAATAATGCTTGATGAATCAAAACCAACATATATGCCTTCTTGTCAATGAGCTCCGATGGTATGCCATTGAGGTTCTGGTATTGGAATCCAAGCATGGCAACCAAATACTCGTAAGTGAGATACATTTGAAATATGATCCGAAATGGGCTTATGTGGTGAAACAATTTCAAGAAAAGAAGGGCGGAGGCGTATTAATGTTGCAGCATGTAAAACTGCATGACTCCACATAGATGCAAGTAAATTTGCGTTAAGGAGGAGTGGCCAAGTAATGAGTTTTATACGCTTTATAAATGACTCTGCAAGTCTATTTTGAGCATGTTCATATAGAATACAACATGTCAACTCAATTCCTATTGCAATACAATAGTCTTCAAAAGACTTTCATGCAAATTCTTTGGCATTATCTATATGCAATGTTTTTATAGGATAATTAGGAAAATATGCCTGAAAACAAATAAGCATAGATATAAGATTGGCAAGTACCATGTTTCGAGTTGATAATAATGAAACATGTGATTGTTTACCTAATGCATCAACAAGATGTAAAAAATAACGAAATGGTCTCGATATTGGATTAATAAGACCAGAAATATCACCATGCAATCTTTCAAGCATTGGTGGTAATTCTTTTGGGAGTTTCCAAATTGAAGGCCAAATAATCATTTTACCTTACACGCATACATGACGTAATTCCATAGAGTTTACATCCGCAGGCTTTAAATTGTATCTAGTTATATATGGAATAATCTTTCTAAATAATGTAGATCCTGGATGTTCCAATCATCCATGCTAGAGAGAAACACGACTCTCTATGATAGATGATGCAAAATTAAATATAATGGGAGGCCAAATCTTAATTCAATTTGAATTATTTTCTATAGCAAAAGCTTTTCAACAACTTTGTGATTCTTCGTAAGAACCAAAAACCTCTTTTCTATTAAAAATGGTAGTCGAGAAGTAATAACCATTAATACGCACATCTCGATAGCTAATCAGACTCTCAGGTGCTGAGGGTTCAAACATCACATGTTTACATTTTATGATAGAACCTATAGGTAATTTTACCATTGCTATGCCCTCTTGGAAACAAAATGTATTTACTCTAGCCATGGTCATTATATTTTTAGTTTGCCAAGTTGAAGTTTTTTCAATAAAAAATTGTCTATCTCGCAAGATAGTATGTGTTGTTATAGAATCAATAAGCGCATCATTTGATTCATCATAAGAGGTTTTGCCATTCATGTAAGCCTCTAAGTTACCAACACCAATTGAATCCATCGACACATCCATGGTATGAACTTCACGAGCCTCAGCTCGTAGTTTCTTATTTTCTTAGAATATTTTAATAAAATATTTTGAAGTACAACATGCATTTGCTAAATGTCCAATCATTCCACATTTATGGCAAGAACGCATCTTTGATTTTTGTTTTCTACTATAATTAATAGTAGGATGTTTATTCTTTCCATATGGGTAGAAATGGTCATGACTATGACTACCCTGATACTTATGAGCACGTTTCCCCTGTTTATATAATTTTTTCTTAGACTTTGAAATATTAAGTGCATGAGATTCTAGAATTGTAGTTCCAATAGGATGAGCTTCTGCATTGTACAAGAGTAGTTCATTTTGCTTCTCTGCAAGAAGTAGATAGGATATGAGATCAGAATGACTCTTAAATTTCATGTTCCTATATTGTTGTGCAAGCACATAGATACATGAGGAAATGTAGAGAGAATTTTTTCAATCATTTCTTCTTCAAAGATGCTTTGTCTACATAATCGTAATTATAAGACAATACTATACATTTTACTATTGAAAGCATTTAAACTTGAAAAATCCAAGACACATAAATGTGTCCAATCATGATGTGCGTGTGGAAGGAAAATGGTCTTTTGATGATCAAACCTGGATTTAAGATTCTTCCAAAGTTCTTCAGGATCTTCCATTTCCAAGTATTGATGTTGTAATGCAGGTAGAAGATAACATCGAAGGAGAAGAAGTACTTTCCAATGAATAGCAGGAGGAATAGAAATACTTATTGTAGGAGATTCTTCAAACATAATGACATCCAAGAGTTGTTCTGCAAATAATTTTTTTTTTTCTATTTTTGCCCATAATAGATAATTGTTTCCATCCTTAGACAATGGTGGAAATAAAAGAGCTTGAAAATATTGGGATGCACTGATAATAGTTGGAACCATAGTAGAAGCAGTTGAAGATGTTGAAGCACTCATTATAAATAAATCTGTAAAGAAAATATATGATCAAGTAGAAAAATTGAGTAAAACATATCTTAAAATATAAAGTCAAATAAAATGATAAACTTGAACTTGAAAAATAAAAAAATATATATATATATATATATATATATATTTTTTAACAAGGTTGTGGATTAAAGCAGCAAAATAGCAATAGGATGGCGGCATGGTAAGTGACGGGTGGCAGCGATAGCGATGGATTTGGCGACAGCTTGGCCATTATTCGGCGGTAGGTGTGGGGCGTAGCAGGGAGCAAGCTGGGGTGGAGTTGGGCTGGATCAAGTATTCTAAGCAAGTATTCTAAGCAAGCAAGACAAAGAGTGGAACAAGTGTTCTAAGCAAGCAGCTAATGTATGAGGGGCCAGCAAGAAGAGCAGCAAGATCATGAGGCAGACACTGAGCAAGAGTAGCAATAGGTTTGAAGAGTCAAGACTAGAGCAAAAAAAAATTGTGATAGTATATAGAAGAGAGTTGTGCTGATAACATGTTGAGAATGTTTAGAAAGACACAAGAGTAATAGTAAGTAATACACACACTTAAGAGTAGTAGTAAGTCATACTTATAAGAGAGTTTCTAAGAAGAGAGAGCTTCACACATAAAAATCTATTGATGTGGTTGTGTCTCATATACAAGAAGAGAAAGAGGAGAGGATAAACAATACTTCTCCACTAGACTCTAAATACTTTAGCTATAGTATTTACTGTAGTCTATAGTAAATATTATGGAGAGCGCCGGCTACATTTAATGATCTCAACAATGCCAATGGGTGGAGATGCTCTTGAGCTACTATATGATTGACCACCACACTCAAAGAAGTTGGCATTTTTATTTTAACTACCAAGCATGCTTTGTGCTTTGTGCAAAGTCAATCTTTTCATATATCATAATAGACACAAAAAAAATAATCACCAAAGTTGACCTTCTAATAAGTATTGTTGGACACGACAATTGAAAAAAAAAAAAAAAAAAAAAAACAAGTATAAATTTTTATGAGAGTGAATTGATGCAAAAATGTTGACAAGTGCTCTTCTACAAAATTTCAATCCTGGGTTGCTCAACAACAACATTGACTCTTAACCACATAGACCAAATGTAGCCCTGGCAGTCAGCTGCTACCTCTCCCACCTGCTAAAATGTGGCTCCATTATTTGCTATAGAAAAGAAAAACCAACCAATTCCATTGTTTTAAATACAGCAAAGCTTGGGTCACACTGGCACTGGATCCCAGTCTCTCTCCAATTCAAAGACGTTTATTTTACAAAGAAGTTATTTTCTCCATTTAATTGCCGTGTGTCCTCTATCTAGTGGCTATTATTATTTTCTAAAATTTATCCTCCGCATTTCTGTAACAAATTCGGCCTCCCATTACTGAGGCCTTAATTAAACCAGGGAACCGCCCCAATCCAGTGTGAAGGGAAGCTCATGGCTGACGTCCATGCAAACGACGTGAGCAATTGCGTTTTGTCATGCAGTCAAATTAGGGTTTCAGACAAAGGTGGTGCAACAGTTGATGAGTTGATGAAGGAGCAGGACTTTTTGTTTCAGTTCTGGGTTGATCTACCCAATTTAGGAACGAGTCGGGAAATTCTCAGGCACATAGCGATACAACACTTTCGCGTAAGGTAAATTAGAGTTGGGTTCTTGTGTGTGAGAGGCATGGCACCGAAGAAGAAGAAGGGAGAAGGGAAGAAAGCGGGGAGGCGGAAGGAGAAAGGATTCAAGGGACCTGGTAAAATTCTGGCCTACCACGATGAAGAGTATTGGAATAGCCGCTACGCTAACCAGCCGGAGCCATTCGACTGGTATCAATCTTACAAAGAGTTGAAAGGGTTGTTTGAAATGTATCTCCCCAAGGACAACAAGATCCTGAATGCTGGATGCGGTAATGGAAGTAAGTGTTAGAAGTTGGTGACTCCTGAATTTCTGTATTCTCTGCGGTCTATGTTTTCTTTGATCGATTTTAAAGCGCATTTAGGGCAAATTTGTAACCTTCTGATGAGTGGATTTGGACACCGCTTTGCGAAGCGACTGCATCTGCAATCTGCGGAAGAGTTTGAGATACATAATTGATGTTGAGAAGGACTGGGTTTGGATTTTAGTGTTGGGGGAGGACATGGTGAGAGATGGCTACTTGGATGTTGTAAATGTGGACAACTCGAGCACGTGCTTTGATCAGCTGAATTTGAGATACAAGGGAAACAAGGACATACCATCTGCGTTTACATGTGAGTTTGTAAATGTTCCTCTACAGCGCATGCTCAACATTAAAGCGCAAGTAGCATGCTACGTATTTCGCTCTGTAGGTTTGAGATGTGTTAGAACTCAGTGACGCAGGGTTTCGGCAGGACATGAAAGATTTGAAGATGTTCAAGGACTTCTCAATGGACCACGTGATTGACAAGGGTGCGTTTTCCTCTTACATTGAATTCATCACTAAATTCGCCACTTCGATTTCAAAAGTAGTTTGTAAGATAACCATAGTAAATGAGATGAATTGTGATGCTTTTTTGAGTGGAGTATCTCGGGCTGAGTTTGTGTTGTAGGTTTTCTGGACTCTATTTTGGTGAGCATTTTCAGCTAGGCACTACCTCATGTGAATCTCAACGCCTGATATCGGCGTGCACTTAACATCTAGACCGTCACAAACTTGTGACACTTTCATGAAATGCGATACTTAATCTTGTTGAGGTTTTAATTGTTGTCAAGTGTAGAGTATTGAGGACCAGCATCATCCTAATTACAACTTTTGTGTACAAACAATGTAACAATCTTTATGGTGGGTGTTTTCCTTATGCATTTGACTGACCGACAAAATTATGTTGGCCACTTGAACCTTGACGCTAGTGTGCAGCTGATGCTCTCAATCAAGTTGCTCTAGTGTTTGGTGAAATTCGAAGGTCACAATTTTCATCGTCTATGAATTGTTATGTTCGACCTATCAGTAAAGTTGATGGGGTTCACCTGGAATCTTTCACAGGCTTCTCGTGATATGAAACAAAGGCTAATCTTTGTGTACATGTAGTTTATGCTGTCAATTTTGGAGATTCTCTGATGTAATGTGGAATGTTGGGGGGGGGGGGCAACTGGTGGACTTTCTTCAGGGTTCTGAAGGTCGGAGGCTTATACATCTTGGTAAGTACGCCAATTCGGTCAAATAATCCACAAGAGTTCTGAGGAAGATCGAAGTTTAGTTCAATTGTGAATAATAATCGTTCACAGACTTGCACTATGTCAGCGAGTTCGCATCAATTGGGTATTCATCAGGTCAAACTCCGTACTCCCTCAGATTACTTACGGTGATCCACGAACACGCATGCCTTGGCTTAAGACTCCACTGACTCCATGGAAATCGATCATTGTCCACGTTTTCCGTAAGTGATGTACCATGTTTCCCCACAACTATATGGCTTCAGAGTAATGGTCTAAAATATAGTATTATCTAATATTCTACATAGTTTTTATGACGTAACTAATATTTATCGAGTAGTGAATTAGCAATGCATTTCGAAAGTTCTAAGTTCTTAGAGGAAGAGGTTAGCACTTTTAATATGTTGCTCAAAATGACTCGAGTGTATGTGCACAGCAAGACCTGGCTCTCCCAAAGCCTTAAATCCTGGGCCACGACCCATACTTGAACCAGTGTATATGTTGCCTGACTTAACTCTCGGACCTCAGTTCAACCTTGATGACCCAGATTGGCATTATATCTATGTCTGTAAAAAGGTAATTCATATCTGTTAGTAGGCAAGCATCGAAATGTTTCAACATAGTATAGTTACATCTGGGTTTTGATTGTGCGAGACCCAAGACCTCATGAACTCTTTGTATCGTGGGGCTGGATGTATGATGCTCTCGCTTACAGGAGACGGAAGATCTAACCAAGGCGCCTCAGCCCAGAAAGAAGAAACCTCTAAAGGCGTAGTGGCTGAATGGCGGGAGATGCCTCTTAAGAAATACATGATTTTGGGAATCAAATCTCTTGAGAAACGTAGACCATCAAAGTGGCAGCTATGCCATGGATAACCTCGATTCACCACTAGAAAGACATTAGCATCTAATCTGGCCAAGGTGCATGGAAAGGTGCATTTCCAGTCAAACTCAACATGCGTAGAGAGAACATGGATGAGCGAGAGATGGGTCACAGTGAGGAAACTGTTGGTCCAACCTAAAGCATTTGAATTTTACTTGACACCATATCGGATACTTACGAGAAAGTCGCTCTACAACAGACCTTGTAAGAGGGGACCCTCATCCAAGGAATTGAATTCTGCAGCAATTAAATCCTTTCAATAACAGTAATGCACATTATAGATGAGTACATGCCGCATCTTGGCAATGGTCTTCAAATTAGCTTCAAAGGATTTCTGCCGTTGCTTACCGCCTCCACAAAATCTTTGGACAGCCTCAACGATGCCAAGCCTACAAGGCTGATTGTCTAAATTTCCGTCGACCTCCTCATTCGAAGCAGTTGTAGATTTTCGCCATGACCATACAGCCTTGAAGCCCACTAAAGCTGTAGGACTTCAACGGGCTATGTTAGCTCAGAACTTTCTTCACCTTGCCCAGTTTTCGCACAGAGAAACAGTAGAAAGTGGCCATGAGGAATGCTGCGAGCTCCACAACCAACAGCGGTTCCAAAGAAGGCAAGCCCTGCTCAGGCTTTCCATGTGAGAAATGTCGGTTAGAAATGCAGTGCTGCTGGCAAAAGGTAAGCCTGCAGAATTTGATGTGGAATACGTGCAATAGATCTCGAAGCATATCTCACTTAGTTTGATGTCCCAGGCTGAAGCATCCGCCCCGAAGACCGAGATTTTTCTTTTGATAGGATTCAACCCTAGGTGTTGAAGCTATTGAAGTCTTACAACATGGTTTGAGTGATTTCCGGACTCCAAGGCGCAGAGCCAGACAAGAATATCCATGTGGGCAGCCCTGGCCAACCTGCAAGAAGCAAATAAATAACATATCTTCACTTTGATGAAACATGTAGACGTTGTTGGGCAAGTTCACGAATAACTGGTGTAGTCATCAAGATATAATCTCCCTGTAAACACTTGTGTTCAGCCACATGATAAATTCGTATATTTTTGACAACTACATGCTGATTGCGAACAGTATTGCCATCATCAATCGACAATGCGCTGGCGTCCATTTACAAAAATTATCGCACACTACACAACAAGAGTTACAGATGCCCTGATAAGCGTGTTGAAATGTGAAAAATTATTGGTTGAACAGAAGCACATAAATGCACATCGATTTATGCACGCATTCTTCATCCCCACACATCATGAAACAGTAGTAATAAAAGGTAAAAACTACGTTTAAAGTCTAGCTTTAAGAAAGTGGAAGTACCCCAAATAATTCTACCAAGACCTCCTAAAAACACATGTAACTTATCCAATCTGAAAATGTAGAAGAGGGGAGCCCGGGATTCGACATCAACCGGTGACTTGGAAGGGGAGGTGACTGACCAGGGCGGTCGAGGATCAGAGAACGCGAAGCCATCGCAGGGCTGAACGTAGAAGTAACAGCGTCTTTGCAAGGCGTCGCAAAGTGAAGCAAAGCACACATGACAGGATGCGAATGCTTTGTCAGAGGAGGCGACAAAGAAGAAAGAGCGGCGGGGATGTCATCCGTGAGCCTCATTACCCACAAATCCCCGCTCTGGCCTCATCCCTCGCCTCTGGGTCAGAATGCCCACTACCTTCTTGGTCTCGCCCACTTCACAATCTCAATCGTCCCCTCCCACGAACCACAGCCTCCGAACCTCCCACGTATTGCTCCAATTTGTGCACATCCTGTAGCTGTGGCGTGTCGTCGTGCATTCGCTTCTGAACGTGCTGGCGAATCCTGCGTAGTTTCTGAGCATTGGGGTGTGACATGAAGCAAATAGTGCCTTACTCATTCCCTTTCGTGGTTTGTAAGTGTTAAAGTTTGTTTCGCTTGTAATTTGGGTTGAATTTGGGTTAGATGTGTGTTGCTCTTCTTTTTGACGTTCTGTTTTGATTGTTTCATTCGCTTTCATTTGTTACTTTCTCTCAATGGCTTGCATGAGTAGAAGTTGAAGATTTGATTGGCAGAATGGGATACTTGGGCTCATTGTGAAATGTTGAACATTGGGATGCACGAGTAGTAGTTACTGTATGATTTATTAGCTCGTTTTGTATCATTTCTGCAGTGTGGGGACTTCTGGGACCGGCATTTTAAGTATCTAACTGTCTTTGAAGCACATCATTGAGCTAATGTCCTGTGTCTAACTGTAATTGGGTTAGAAGTATACTATGTATTTAATCGCGCACACGTTCTTGGCGTCACTCAATGTTGGATATTTCCCGTGTACAATCAGGCCACATTTCCAATGAACTTTCTTGGTTCAAAGGACTCGATGAATATCTCATTATCAAAGGTTTTAAGTTATTGCGCACACTCTGATGTTTGTGGTTATATTCCTCACAGAGTGCCACATTCAACCCGCATCAGCTGTCAGTTCAATCGAGAAAGTAGGGCAATCAGTTCCACTTCCCTTTCTCCCCACTGCTCAGAATTTAGGCTATGTTGTCCAGCCACATAGCTTCCTCCTCATGCAGCGGTCTGAGACTTGGGTCTACATCATGTCTGAAGTTGAAAGCTAGGAAAGGATGCGTTCACAGACGGTGTGGAAGTGGGCTTCTACCTGTCCAAAGTCGGCTGCAGGGGAGGAGTTTCAGATTGCCAAATGCCAAGAGAGGTCTGAGCTACAGCTCTTTTCAGAAGTCATAATTGTTTCAGCTCAAATAGGAAAATGAATGAGGGGTGGGTGTCACTCTGTGTGTTCTGTTGTTCCAAATCAGGTCTAGCCTTGAGGGATCAAAGTGATGAGATGGTTGCAGATATTGGCAAATATGGAAGAGCTTTCTCATATGAAATAAGTTTGTGCAATTATATTCCGTGTCTTTGGAAGCCATCCAGTTTTTGCTGAGGACTAGCAGATGTTTTCTGCAGCCTTTGCAGGTGCGTTGCATCATGTAAAAATTTAACCATAAATATTGTGGTTAATTTGAAGACACTCTGTGATGGTTTTCATTTCCTTAAATATGAACCATACTACAGAAGCTTTGTTCCCTTAATAATCGCGGGCATATTTGAGCGAAATTTGCACAAATTGCGGTTATTGTAGAATAAGGAGTTATGACCATGGTTTTGATACTTTGTTGGTGGTCCAGGGGTTCCTCCTCATAACAGCTTGGGGACAGCCATTAAGAACTTCAAGTGGCAGGACTTACAAAGCTCCTGGATTTCCAGCAATCGGGAGCTTCTCAGTCATGATTTTCCGCGAAACTTTTCAGTCCTTGGAAGCCAGGACACTTATTCTACTAGTATGGATTTCAATGAAGGGTCGTACCGGACAGAGTTCAATTATCCTTCGAGTTCAGACTCGCATTTCCTAGAAGGGTTGATGCCTAAAAAGGGTATTGAAGCTATACAATTTCTTGAAGAGCATCCCGAATATGATGGAAGGGGTATCACGGTAGCAATTTTTGGTGAGATACGATGCACTTCGCTAAACTTTCGTTGCAAATTACTTGCGAGTGACATGACTGTATCATGTATTTTTTACCAAGTGGATTTAGACTCGTAGGAACTATATTATACAAAATTGGTAAATGCTTGTGCGGTTGCTCGACTTCAACCATATATTGTATTTCATCTAAACTTCTTCAAGTGCTCACCTTTTCTGGTCGCCTAATATTAAGTATGAAGAAAGTATGGCCTATCATAACATTAAAAATTTTCGTGGCTTCTATTTCATTGCTTGAGGAGGTATCGGTTGAGTAGCTTGTTTATGTCCTTGTCTCGGCTTCAGACAGCGAAAGGAATTGCGCAAGCCCTCTGAATCCACCTAAAGGCATAGAAGTCCTAGAACATTTTAGTCACATTTGAAAAATATCGTGTAGGATGTAATTTTTTTTCAAAATAAATTGCTCCTTACCTCATCGTGACTGTGGTTCCATGTTTTAGATTCTGGAGTGGATCCCGCAGCCGCTGGTTTGCAAGTTACGACAGATGGAAAGCCTAAGGTTATTGACGTACTTGATTGGTAAGTGTGAGTAGTGCAAGAACGTTTGAGAACATATATCATGATGCAACTATTTCAGTCCTTTCCCAGCTGTTGAGTCCTCTGGAAGTTAAATTCTTATTTGATTTCGTCTTCTGGTCCTTGGTATTTTATGATGAAAACGAAACAAATTTCTCTCAGAGACCGATCCCAAACAATATACAGTTTTTAGCTCTTCAATTTACTCCGCGCATGAAAGTTCTCACTGTTTTTATTTCTCTCTAAATACAGCACTGGGAGTGGTGATGTGGATACTTCTACAATTGTGACAGCTGATGAAGACGGTTTTATTACCGGAGCTTCAGGTTTCGAACTGGTTTGATTCATAAATAGTCATCTTGTTCTGCATGAAGTGTTTGGATAAAAACTTTCTAGAAAATGGACTAAGGTGTTGCTATCTGTATCGTAGCATCGTGTTGAAATTGAAATATTCTTGCGATGCTGAAGTGTAGAGTAAAATTTGTTGCTTGTTGATTGAATATTTCATTCTAATTGTACTGGCACTCGCGTGAGAGTAGGCTATGAAATATACAAAAGTTTGGAAGTTCGTATTAAGATAAATTTGTCTTAATCGCTTCACTCGTATTCAACTCAACGAAAGGACTCTAAGGTCTGACTTTTTCTGGATTTCCATTTCTCAGGAGCCCGTCTACAAATAAACAAAGAGTGGATAAATCCAACAGGGGAATGGAGGGTAGGGTCTAAATTGGCTTTCTCGCTGTTCACAGGGACTCTCATTAATCGTCTAAAGGTACGTACCACTCACAACAAATGTTTAAACTGTTCAAAAGTAACTATGAGTTAAGGTGATTATTGTTTATAGCTTGAAGGTCTCTTTATTCTGAGGAGTATTTCTTATCCATTTGGGCATATTTCTGGATATTCCACATGAAGGGAGAGCGCAAGAAAAAGTGGGATGAGAAGCAAAGGGAGGCATTAACTGAGGCTCTTCGTCAGCTTACAGAATTTGATAAGGTGAGCTGAATCTTGCTTAATCAGCTTGCGAGTTGCATGTGCCTATCTGCTGTCATCAGAATTAATATGAGTCAATCATCCAGAATGTTTCTCTAATGCATCTACACACTACTTTTCTGATACGAGTTGTTCCGTAGTAAAGGCGGTCTTCAGATGCTTACAACGAACATTGTTGTTCTTGATGTCCCAGAAGCACCTCAAACCAACTGAGCCAGCGCTCAAGAAAGCTCGAGAGGATCTTCAGAATCGAGTTGATTTTATTCAGAAACAATCGGATGTAACTATTTTTTACCTGGTTTGTCTCTCTGTTTTGGTTACAAGAGTGTTAACTCATCAATATCTCCATAACCATTATTTCATGTTTTCTATGTTTTTCAGTTTACCTATATTCTAAGTATAAATATGTTTTTTGTTCTGTTCAGAGTTACGAAGATAATGGGCCAGTTATTGATGCAGTAGTATGGCATGATGGAAATTTGTGGAGGGCTGCATTAGACACTCAAGATATGGAAGAGGAAAGCGGACTTGGAAAGCTTGCAGACTGTACTCCTCTAACCAATTACAGGTATTGATACATGTGGTGTTATAAATCAAGGTTTTTTAAGGAATTATTGGTTGGTTCTTTACATATCCTAGTCTATTATGTTAAGGTGACCTGGTTTGTTTCGAAAGTATTCTTTCTTGTCCTGTGTAAGTAACGGTAACCGTGCTGCTACCACCGAATTTTGAGCTTTGTGTTCTTAAGAGTACTTGTCCTACTAACTTCGTTAAGTATTCATCTGATTTGCAGGATGGAGCGGAAGTATGGGGTCTTTACCCGAATGGATGCCTGCACATACGTATTAAATATTTTTGATGATGGCAATGTTCTCAGCATCGTCACAGACTGCTCCCCACATGGGACACATGTTGCAGGAATCACAGCTGCCCACCACCCGGAGGTGAGTGTCTTTACCACTAACATCTCTGGTTTTAAGTTATCAAAAAAAAAAAAATATATATATATATATATAAGTTTATTCTGCACGTATAGGTATCCATTCAGAACATTTAAGATATAAATCGAAAGTACTTTAGGTTGTCCGCGTTATTTATTAGACTTTGCATATTGAAACTTACCAGTAAAGCTTGCAGAGGGTTGACTGTTTCTCTCTAGTTTCTTGATTCTTATCAAGTTGGTTAGTCTATAGTGTGATAATCCGTGTAAGATGTGGTCTATTGATGTCAATTATTCTTATATAGGAACCACTCTTGAATGGAGTAGCACCAGGAGCTCAAATAGTCTCTTGCAAGATTGGCGATACGCGACTCGGCTCAATGGAAATGGGCACTGGCCTAGTTCGCGCCCTCATTGCAGTAGTTGAGGTCTTGCTTTTTTCTTTTTTCTTTTTTCTTGTATATATTTCTCTTATGTGAACGCTTTATTCTATTTTGTAATCACTATCTGATATTTTGTCTCTGTACATAGGCCACACAAGGTAATGTTGATAATTCCCTTTTAGATCGTGGAGTATTCCGACCTTGCAAATTGAAGGCTCTTTTGGGGTCTAGAGTCTGTCTTGTTAAGCATGCCTGGACAAAATAGTCTATTCTTGTCATGATTCAACATTTAAGTCACTGGATACTGTAATTGTGCTCTTCTGCAGACAAAATGTGATCTTATAAACATGAGTTATGGAGAGCCGACCTCAATGCCAAACTATGGTCGTTTTATCCAACTAGCTGAAGAGGTACAATTCTTCTCTCACCCTAGCGATAAACTTTGAGATCTCAATTACTTGAAAAGCTGCTGTTCGTGTTGGTAAACATCATGTCTCTTCCATATCTTATTACTTGGAGGGGTTTGTGATTTATTACTGAACGGCAGCCTTAACTGTTCTTGAAATGCTCAGTGAGAATCAATCGTGCAGCTGCTCTTGACCATCAATATGGTGCATATTTCACTATAATTTCTATGACCACTTCTACTCTATTTTATTCCAATGTAATTGGTTATATTACAAGAGTAAGGAGACATTGCTTCAACGCAATCGACATAATCACCCTCCTCCCTTCTCCAGAAAAAAAGAAAAAAGAAACGATAAACATGATTCTCTAATTTATTTTGCAGGTGGTAAACAAACATGGGGTGATATTTGTGTCTAGTGCGGGTAACAACGGTCCATCACTTACAACGGTAGGTGCCCCAGGGGGCACATCATCAAGTATCTTATCCGTTGGGGCATACGTGACTCCATCAATGGCTGCTTCAGCTCACTCTTTGGTTGAAACTCCCACAGAGGGCGTCCAGTACACCTGGTAAGTGACGGCCGCACTTCATCTTGGTATATACACGTCCATTTTCTCGATCGTTATGAAAACACGAGAGTTGAATCAATAGAACTTCACCTCGAGGTTTCTCTTCTAATATGCGGGAATATTAGGAATATCAAGTAAATTCAGTGATAGGAAATTAATCTAATTTAAGCAAAGAACTGCAGGTAGTCTAAAATTTTGAGGGTTTCTCCGGGTTAGACAAGTCGCATACTGAGAAAGTCATCCTCATCAAGAGTTTTATGACCTATCATAAACTTGGCCTTTGTTTTCTCTTAAAATAGATGAAGAATGGTTGAACTGACATTCATCTACTGGGTATGGCTCTTTTGAAGTTTAAAAGTGATATGAATCTTCATATGCTATCGAATCAATGATAGTATAGTGAAATACTGCACCATACAGCAAGAGGGGTGCAGACTAGCCACCTTCTTTATGTTTCTGAATTGCAAAGCAGAATTATCATTTCACCTTGTCTAAGCAGTCTTCTCTGCTTCAAGATTTTGATCTTTACTATTGCATCAACAGGTCAAGCAGGGGACCAACAGCAGATGGGGATATCGGTGTTACCCTGAGTGCACTGGGTGGGGCAGTTGCACCTGTGCCCAAATGGACTCTACAACCACGCATGTTGATGAATGGTACATCTATGTCTTCTCCCTGTGCCTGCGGTGGCATTGCACTGGTTCTTAGCGCTCTCAAGGTGAGTTTGAATTTTAATAAGGATTGGAATCTAATGGTTCATAGGTGCTGATCTGCCGTTTTCAGTCAGTCTCATTTACTTTTTTGAAGCGGAGACTCAATCAGTCTGGATACCTTCTAATAATGTGCACTCTTGAAATATCGTAGTGTTTTAAGTCGTTAGTAGTGTTGCATCTCGTGCCTATTTAAGACATCTTTTGTTGATAGTTACCTTTGTTTGGGTAATACGTACGGGATTCCTGAGGATAGAAAAGTATCATATCTAAAGTTCTATGTCAATCGTACTTTAAAGGAATGCTGTCAGGAGAATTTGGATTGCATGATGGTAGATTAAGTATGGATTATGACACTAGTTGTATGGTCTCAACTTTGTTCATTCAACGTTTGATGAGTGTTCCTTCTATCGATCAGGCAGAAGGACGTAAAATCAGCCCCCACGTCGTGAGAAAAGCACTCGAAAACACTGCTGCTCCGGTCCATGACGTGCCTGAAGAAACTCTCACAATTGGTCGTGGTCTCTTACAAGTTGATAGGTGAGATCGACTTGGACCTTGTCTCTCCTTTGAACCTGCTTGTGTTATGCTTAATATTTTTTTAACGACATATTAAATTTTAATCTAACAATAGCTTTGTTTTAGTGTGCAGTATTGTAAGGCTAACAGATCGGTTTACGTCATATAATCTCTTGACATTGTTCAATGTTGTTTTATCAGTACTTTAATTCGATTGCACTGTCCATAAAATTTTACTTGTAGGGCGTATAAGTATTTGCAAACTTGCGAAGAACTTCCACCCGTGCATTACACAGTGGAAGTTGGTCGTGGCCCTAACACAGGCGTCACTTTTCGAGGAGTGTACTTGCGGGAGGCGTATGATTGCCGACAAGCAAGTGAGGTACCTTTGCTAACGAAGTTCACTTTGCCCAGCGTTTTCTTAAACTGGACATGATAAGGTTTGTATTCCACCAGCAATATCTACTGATCTAACTTGAGTGTCATGTGTGCATGTCTTTCAGTGGAATATTACTGTCAAGCCCCAATTTCCTGAGGATGCTGATAACCTCAATCAAGTGGTGCCTTTTGAGGAACGTGTGAAGTTGGAGAGTGGGAATCTATCCTGGCTCAAGTGTCCTGAATATCTATTACTCACTAACAATGGGCGCTCTTTCAAGTACTAATACTCGTCCAGACTTTATTTTTCTCCTTTTCGTGCATTCATTTTTTCCTTTGTCGTAAAGGATGCATTTATAATGTACAGCTCTGATGACTGAGGTTCCATTTTGTGGGGTCAGTATTGTAGTGGATCCAACTGGCTTGAAGGATGGACTGCACTACGCAGAAGTTGTGGGTGTCGACTCTGAGGCACCATGGCGAGGACCCCTTTTTAGAATACCTGTGACCATATGCAAGCCTCTTGAGTTAAAAACATCGCCACCAGTAGCGTCTTTTTCAAATTTGTCATTCGTTCCAGGTACCACATGGTCATCAGGTGTCACTTTTGTGTACATCTTTTTGCACTTGTTATAATGATTTTGTTCAACCTGATGTGATTAATTGAATGATCGTTGCGTTTGTACGCTTGCACATATATTGCAAGTTCTTATTAGTGGGTTCCGTTGAATTTTTAAAGTCGTGTATTTGTAATTCATGATTGAGTATTTTTGAGCAGGGGCAATTGAGCGAAGATTTATTTCCGTTCCAGAGGGCACAACTTGGGCGGAAGCTACCCTCAAAATGGCTGGCTTTGATACTCCACGAAGATTTTATGTGAATGCTGTGCAGCTTGTTCCCAAGCAACGGCCATTTGTGTGGTCCAGTTTTGTGAACTTCCAATCGCCATCATCAAAGTCATTTGCATTCCCGTTGATAGGAGGAGTAACCATGGAACTCACTATTGCTCAGTTCTGGTCCAGTGGTAATGGTAGTCATATACCAGCTACTGCAGATGTAGAGGTAAGAATTGTCTGGTTGATCAAATGCACTGTGGTATTTCGATAATTATTCTCCTTCATTGACTCTAATATTACTTCTGTATGTGGGCAGATTGAGTACCATAGTTTACTTGGTGTTAATAATGAGGTACTCATTAAAGGTAGCGAGGGTACAGCTCGGGTGGATGTAAAAGCAGCTCTTGGCTCTGAAACTTTAGCTCCATCTGCCACTTTGAAAAAGGTTTTTTCATTCTCGTGTGCCCTTCTCTCTTTGGTACAATCTCTAGATTGTTTATAAGGATTTTTGTTTTTTATTTTTTTGATTTTTTTTGATGAAGTATCATGGCTGGTACATCTTCCCGTTGACTTTGACAGATACTGTCCTGCTTTGTGAAATTTACTCTTAGACTTGCCTTAGAGCTCAAGTTGGTGTGTTCACATTCAACCTAGATTTGAGAAATGAGTGTGTTCTATTTAACAGAGTGGCTCTCAATGCACAGGTTCGTGTCGCATATCGTCCTGTGGAGGCAAAGGTTGCGCCTTTGTCAGCCTTAAGGGATAAATTGACTGATGGGAGACAGATAAACGCTCTCACGTTGACGTGCGTATCCCTAGCAATCTTCTAAGTAGTAATTTGCTTAATTGGTTTGCACAAGGGATGTGCAGGCCATGTAGGCTCATCGAAATGGATTGCTTCTCATTCGATTGTTCGGTGTTGTTCCATTCCTTCTACATTACAGTTTTATACCTTAATCTGGCCCCTTCATTTGTTTGAAATTCTTCCACATAAAGGTTGACTTAATTTCGTCTCTAGGGGAACATAAATTGATGGAATCATTCTCCTGGTTGCACATGTACAGATATAAATTCTCACTTGCAGAAGGTGGCAATGTGACCCCAAGGATCCCCATTTTGAATGGGCGCATGTATGACAATGAATTCGAGTCTCAGTTCTACATGCTTTGTGATTCCAACAAGGTATTTTGGGTTCGCTGCTTCTGATGTCCTCGATAGCACAACTTGAATGTGCCTTAAAATTATGTGCTTTTTGTTCAAAAATCAATGACTGGAAATTTCCCCTTCCACACAACTGATGTCATATTTGTAGACTTACACCACGTTGTTGTAATTTGTAATACACGTCATTGAAGTTTGGGGGGCTCGTAAACTTCTGAATCGAACTCAGTACCTGTATTGTGGTAAAATATTTGTCCACAGAGAGTACTTTCGATGGGAGATGTCTACCCAGTAGGTGTAAAACTCTCCAAAGGAGACTATACTTTGTTACTCCATATCAGGTTTTCCCAGCTGCACATTCAATTATGACATTTGACTGAAGATCACCAGTACCGTCTTACTCCAGATACTTAGTGCTTACAGATGTAAGTAGAGACAAAGTACATGTTAATTAATTCGCAATGGTATATGAATAATTGGTTTTGAAGAAATACCGTACATGTAAAATTGAGATCGTTTAGTTTGCGTCGTGAATCTATGAAATCTCTTTGTATGATATTGTTATACTTTCACAATTTTACATCCTTTGAGATGTATGCCAGGCATGACAACATGAATCATCTAGAAAAGCTGAAGAAGGCAGTCCTACTCCTTGATCGCGATCTGGAAGATAAGGTGTGTTGAATCTGTGAAGGCCTCTACATCACAAATGTCTATTGAGTCAATCTTAATTTCACAGACAACCAGCTGTACATTAATTGTGTCTAGTTTCATGAAACAACTTACACTGTCCATTGCTTCACCTGTTCATAAAGTTGATGATTTTTCAGAACGGTTTCTGTTCGAATTTTTTCTGACAACAGCTTGGTTGTATTATCTTGATCAGAACTCAATAAAGCTGGGTTTTTCATCCCATATCGATGGGGTTATAACCGGAGGTGGACCCTTCAAAAGTGCTCTTCTAGCTGCTGGGTATGATTTCCAATTCCCCACAGAAGCATGACATTTTTATTTCCTTGACTGGACACTATCGTGTTTTGTTTGCCGTATATTAAATGTTTATCATGCCGTAGCTGTTGATTAATATAAGAAGGCAGCCGGTGAATGACAGCATCCTACAAACTTCCACTGCAATGTGGCAGCAAGTACAAGCTATCGGGTGTATCATTTTTGTTTCTCCCGCTTGTGAACTGATAATTTCATATGATTTGGCATCGCAGAGAAACACGGCCCTTCTACATTGTTGCGCCAACTGATGATAGGATACCTAAGGTAAGGAATTTCTCTAGGTTTGTTCACCTTATCGTACCAGGCATCCCATGTCCTTCTCTATCCCTCATTCTTTCTCACACACGCACTCACACAAGCGTGTGTAGGTGTATGCTGGAACGGTTGGTAATTGACAAGGTACACCCACTGTTCTATTTCAGTGTAGAGGTTTAATTTCAAATGACGAAGTAACAGAAAAGTCGGATAGTCTTTTCTAAGAAAAAATACTTTCGTGCTCTTTCACTTCCAAATTGTATGTTATTAGTGTACTAAAACTGTTCCTCTTTTTTTTGAAAATGTTTCAAGTAGCTTCAATAGATGTTGACAAGCATGAGCGCTAGATATTGAAGTCGTTAATTGTATGCAGTTGATTCTCCTTTTGGTTATTTATTTGAGTGTGTCGAATTGTTATTTCAGGATGCAACCCCAGGTTCTTTGTTGTTGGGTGAGATATCGTATGGGGAGGTGTCGGTTGGGAATAGAGGTGGTAATGGAGGAGCAGCCTGCCCTTCTAAGGCGAGAATCACATTTGTTGTGCCCCCACCACCAAAGGTCCGTTCTTTCAAAACGTTCGATTTCATCGCACCAACATGATGTTATGTCTGTGTTAGTGTTGAACTGTCGAATTGTCCGCTTTCTTGGCGGCATTAAAGGAACATCTGCATTCTTTCTGGTGACTTTTCAATGTGTTGGTGTAGAGTGAGGACAAAGCAAAAGAAAAGGAAGATGGAGTTAAGAAGAATGTTTCTGATACTTTGGAGGAAGAGGTAATCATCACGACTTGCGGTTTCGTAACCAACGTTCAGAAGAGATGACATTATATATATATATATATATATATATATTTGTTTGTATTTGCTTATAAGAAAATTGCATGTCTACAATCTACAGTTCTTAAGTGTAGATACATATCTCGCTTTGGTGGTAAATCGTATCATCTTGTAATAACGTATGGCAATCATTATATCTGAACCAGTTTTCATTGTAGTGCAACCAACAGCTAGTGTTTCCTGGATTAGAAAGGCACATGACAGCACCGTAAGTTGTATCATCTATTTCCATGTGAAGAATGAGGAATGACTTAGGAAAGTGATCTGGTGCAGGTGAGAGATGCAAAAATCAAAGTTCTTTCTAGCTTTTTGTTGAGTACAAAGGAAGAACGAGAAGAATGGGAGAAGCTGGCGGAGTCATTCAAGGTCATCATTTTATATTGCATCTTGCTTGCATCAAATGGATGTCTACTCTTAGAGGGTTGTTGAATATTGAGCTAATTGAAGCCAATTGTATTATAGTGTTCGATTGTTTCTAGTTGGCTTTGAGTGCTTAATTTTTCTGACATGTAGAACTATTGTGTGCCACGCTTGACTGCAGGCTGACTATCCTAAGCACCTCCAACTTATGATAGAGATATTAAACAAGGTGTCTGGGTTACAAGGCAAAGAAGAGGAGAAGTTCAGTGTTGTCAAGGTAATCCTGGGATCGCACCCGAACGTGTTAGGTTTAGATCATTACGATTCTGCTTTTGTTACTTTCGTGCGAACATTGGCATAACTGATAATTATCTTAATCGAAATTGGTGTATGAGTTCAGGTAGGTTTTGCATGTCTTGATTTTTAATTCAAGAGAGCTTACTATCAAGTGAGGTATTGGTTAGAAAGGATTCTGTGATTATGAATGTCTGTGCCTTGATTTGGCTATACGTCTCTTAATCAGTGGGTAATCTCTGAACATCGATAATAACCATGACTTCTTTGTGTAGCAGATTATTGAAGCAGCTGATGACGTGATTCGCCTAGTGAATACCGATAGTCTTGCAAGACACTTTGCTATGAAATGTGAAGCTGAAGATGCTGATGCTGCGGTAAGTTTTCATGATAGCACGTGGTGGTTCTTGAAGTTCTTCGATTTTTCAACTTCAGAAGTTCAAACAGATATCCTTCATTCAAATACCTGGTCGAATTGGCAGAAGCAATTTTTACATCATTTAGTGGGGATTTTAGGTTAGAAATCAATTGTATTGTTCTCAAAAGAAGATGTTCCTTATGCGTGTCCATGTAAATCCGCAGAAAGTGAAAAAGGAGATGGAGAAACAACGAGATGCATTAGCAGATGCGTTGTACAAGAAGGGGCTTGCTCTCATCCAACTTGAAGAGGATCGAACAACTCAGCAGGTGCTTTTAGTCTCTGCAATATCGTGTGTTTAACTGGGGTCATGTCCCTATTAACAACATTTGCAAGGTTATGATGATGGGTCGTTGTTTCAATTCTTTCATAGATATTTCTGGGTTGATTTGGGCAGCCCATTATTACCGACTAATCCTGTTTCAAATATATTAATTCAAAAGCGGAATGCTGGTCCTGGTTATTAGTGCCCGCTGTGATTACCCAGCTCAACGTATTAGTCATACAATATTTCTGATTCTGGCTTATTTTATGCATTGAAACGTGACTTCGGATACAGAACGAGAAGTCCCTTGAAGTCTCATCAACTTCGTCTACTGAATCTGATACACCAGGTTAGTGACTTTGATTCCCAAGCTTTACCCTTTCAATCAACCTCAGGTATATAATAGATGTCTCTCCAATTACAGGGTTGTGAACATCGCATTTAGTTGTCCATATTCTTCAGATGCAGGCTTTGATAAAGAAAAGGCAGCAGAACAAAGTGAGAAGGTGGAACCTCCATCTAATGTATCATCTCCTTCGAAGCCAGAATCTAGCTCTGAGATGTCTACCTCAACAACTGATGAGTTGGAACAGACTTTTGCCGAACTACGCAAGTGGGCTGATACTTCCTCCTCCAAATATCTTTTACTAACTGTGAAACGGGAAAAGCGTGTTGGTCGTCTCGGAAGTGCTCTGAAGGTAAGCAATTTTTCAACTTTTGAATGGATGATTTGTTTCTCCTAGCATGCCCTGGAAATTTTAGCTGCGGGAAGATATGACTTTTTGAACTTGCATTGACCTTATCAGAACTACTTTAATAAGATTTACATTCTTCTTATCTTGGAACAGTTCTTGGGTGATCTGATCCAAGACGAGAGCATGCCACCTCAGAAGAATTTGTACGAGATTCGCATCCAACTCCTTGAAGAAATTGGATGGTCACATTTGGCTGCGTATGAACGCAAGTGGCTGTCTGTGCGCTTCCCTACTTCATGTCCCCTCTTCTAGTTCCTGCATTATCTGCATCTCCGATTGAGTTGCAATTGAGCACAATCCGATTTTGAAGAGGGGAATGAACGCTGCACAATTCTTTGTTGACATAACCTCAGCAGTGTGACACTTAGGTGATGGTCAAACAGAAGTGAGGTGCCATAACAAGCTGTTGTATGAGCAGATGCTTACGGTAATAAAGTTTGTATGCTAATTCAAACAGTCTTGTGCATTGTCATATTTTGAAAATCAGTATGTCAATATGCTTTGATTTCGCACTCACTGTTAGTAGGTCACCATTCACTGCTGAACAGGTAGTGGAAGTCATTACTGCAGTAAAGTAGGTCATTGCAGTTGGACAAGTTACTAATCGACTTCGGCAGCTGCAATTTTCATACCCTTAATCTCACCAAAACGGAAACCAAATCCATGAAGAGAAAGCTGAGGATTGAAACACGAGAATACTCTCATGCTTGTATGCTTAACATATGAGTTGAGAAACTGGTGATCTACAGGGTTCGAAACCTGGTCTAAATATGAATTATACAAGGTGATGGTCCAGGTACGCCTTCTAAGACTGGTTTCTGCAATACGCGTGTGTCAGTAAGTTTGATTCATTGGCTTACCACGCTGTCAGAATGTCAGCTTTCATACAGACTGCTCAATACATATTGCTTCTGGGGTCAACAGAGAGATGCTCCAGATGATGTACAATATTGAGTTGTAGAAATCTGTTGCTACTTCAAGTCCGTCTTTGTCACTCTACTTTTCTGATCAGCACCCTAAATCACCTAGACTGAGATTCAGGAAAGAAACCATTCACACTTGTCTGCACATAAAATCTCATTTCTATTACAGAATACTTGTTGTGTGAAGACACACCAAATGCAGGGTTGGAAAGCTTTCCATGGAACTACATGCTGTGACAAGCCTGGAAGCCTCTACACAATCACAAACCCAAGTGGGCACGGCCTTCATAAATTTCTACCTAGACTTATTTGATTATTTAATTGTACATGAGAATTACTACTACATTTTCACTTGTTAGTGAGAATCTATGTTCGGATTGGATGTGTTGCAATCAGAAGATATATTCTGATTACAAATCTACTCAGTCAAAAACATTATTGTGCAAATAGGGTATTGTTTAGAAACAGAAGAACAACTATTCAAACCTTAGAGATTTAATTTCAAGAATTTTGAGGCATGAAAATTGATGCTAACTTCAATACTTTAACAAGTTGAAGGAATATATGTATCTTTGTGAAATTATAAATTAGTCATTATTGTAACACTTCGAATGTTGAGATTTCTAATGAGCCAGAACTTTGTAAAGAAATTTCTTGATCAAAAGCACATACACATTTGTATGTATAATAATGAAATTTTAGCAAATAAAGATAATAATAAATTATAACATATTGAAACAGAAGAGGAATAAGAACTGAAATTAAACAAGTGAGATAGAAAGACTGAAAGAAAGAATTCTACCTATCAGTACAAATATACAGATATATGTATATCTGTATATACGTACTGATAGGTGGAATTAATACCCATAGGTATATCAGAGTATATATATATGTGCATTAAAAGGTCAAATTAGTAATAAAGTTTGAGGCGATCAAAATTATGTATAAATAATTTAATTATTGTGTGTAACTATATGTGTGTATGTATATGTAGAATAAAGAAAGAAAAAAAATAAGGATAATTTTAGCAAAGCATATACAAAAATATAAAGTAATTATGTGTCATATATATGCAAAAAAATTACAACCACAAATGCCTTTTAAAACATCATAAAACATTCTAGGATATTACAAAAAACTTAGCACTTTTTATTGATTTTTAGAAATCTTTGAAATCTTTTGGAATCTTTTATGGTAGTCTAGAAGTTGTCAAGAAAGACCTTCCTTAGTCTTCTACAAGTATCTATAAAAGATTCATTATATTAATAAGAAATTTTAAAACTCTTAAAATTCTTCAAGAAATCTCTATTGAACCTAATTGCTATTGTAAAAGTAAAGGGGTAAAATATAGGGTGCTTTAGTCTTGCCAACAAAAGTTTTGAAATAATCTAGGTGTTGTTTTGTTCGTAGTCTTGTATCCAGTCTTGTTTCTATGAGAAATTTTAATTTTCTTGTGCTAGTTGATTTCTCATTTGACTTTGTGTTCTTGATAACTTAGATATGTTTATTTTTTTTATTATTAGTTGAAAAAATGTAGAAAATATATATATATATATATATATATATATTTGTAAATTTTAGTATTCAAGTATATAAAGTTATGGTAAATTTTGAATTTAAAAAAATCTTTCTTTAAGAATTTATTTTTAATATATACATATGTATAAAACATTCATTTATTATCGAAAACTGCTTAGTTCTTATAAAGTTTATAAATGTTTGTTTGGTAACAACATTCATATATATATATATATATATATATATATATTTTTTTTTTTTCTTTCTTAGGTTTGATCTTCATATACATATTGAAGAACAAGAGGGGATTGAACATAGCCAGATTGAAATATACAAAAAAAATATCAGATATGCAACTCAAATATCTTGGCTCAGTCATGTATATATGCCAAATAAAACTTAAATGTAAAATAACATAGATCTATCATGAATGTATGATAAAATGTATTATTACCATTGATAAGAATTATTTAAGGTTTTTTTATGTAATAAATTAAAATATAAGAATTGAATGATGAATTTTTATTAAAGTTCTTAAAAATTAGAAATGATACCAATCTCATTTTATGTTGGAATTATTCTAAAAATTCAATTAAAATTATTTCTTAAAAACATAAAAAGAAATTGATTCCTATCCGATTTTGAAATAATTATTTTAATTTTAATATATTAAAAAGTCATACAGGGCTCATCTCATTTTTTTTAAGATTTCTGTTCACTATGTTAATTGTTGTAAAGGTTAATTAAAAATTGATGTCTTTTAAGTTGTTGAGTTTTAAATCTACATTAAAATTTTAACTAACAAATATTTTTAGAATTATCTGTTGTAAAAACTACAAATTAACAATCGTAGGTTTACTTAAACATGTTTTGTGAATCGATGTTTATGTTAGCTTTTCGTGATTACATTTCATTTATTTCTTTTGTGCTCTGTTACAATTCATTTTATTTTGTATGAGTAAAGACATTGTTTTACATTCAATGCTACAATCTCTTAAATGTCAATTTTGTAAAAATGCTGTGCTCCAACTTACTACTCATGGATCTTTCTATGGCGTATTTATGTTGCATATTAGAAATCAATTGCAGTGCTTTTATTGATACATTTAATTAGTTCTTAATATAAATATGAAGGACATGCACATAAATATAAAGTATTGTAGAAGGAAATACTGCACATGAATGCCACACTAATGATGGAAAAAAGTTATCAATTCAGAGCAGGTCACATGATACAGTAGAGCACCAGTTTACAAGATGATAAGTTTCTAAGATGTGAAATGATTTCTAAACTAATGTCGCTTCTTAGGATTCATTTATCATATGCTTAAGATGCCATTACTGATGGCAATGCTAAATTTCTAAATTCCGAATACTAAAATGAACCATAAACTCTGGAAACTACAATGAGAACAATACCAGGTAAAAGCACAATACAAAGATTTGAACCTTAAGTATGCCAAACTCTAAACCTAACACAAAGAGCTAACAGTCTTGTTATTGACACCCAACTTATCATACGCGAGAGAACCAGATGGAAATTTAATACTTCTCTGATATGAAAAGCCCAGCTTCCAAAATGGGTTGGAAATGAATATATATATATATATATATATATATATGTGTGTGTTAAGAAGCTACTTCCGGAGACTTCTGATCTGCTGTTGAAGATCGTCATTTTCAGCTACAATGCCACAGTACTTAATATTCACTTGCATAAATTGATCATTCAACTCTAAAATCTCTTTCTCTTTCGTATTCATGTACTCTTTAAACTCGGTCTCCTTTTCCAAAAGCTCTATGCCCAATTCACTTGCTCTAGCCGTTGCAGCCTGCTTGTCACTCAAATATGCTGCCATTCTCTCCTCTGCTTCATTGCGTTGTTCTTCCAGTGCCTTGATCCGTTGATCCACGGCCTTCATGTCATTCAGAGAATCCTCAGTCCTCTTCTCCCAGTCATTACGCTCATGTTCAAGCTCTTCAACCCTGTCAGCCGCAACACGCAGCTGATTTTTGAGAGAAACAATATCCTCTTGTAACTGAAGAATATCCTCATCCAGTTGCTCTCTCTTGGCAATTTCCTTGCTCAGATCACTTCGTAGTCCCTTGACCTCCCTTTCGAGTCTCCTTTTATTCATCAACTCAATGTCATTGTCTTTGAGAGCATCTTCTAAAGTAGCAATCGAAGTGATTAAGGCATCCCTCTCCAAAGTTAAGCTCTTCACATGCTCTTCCATTACTGCCATTTCCTCTGACATATGCGAGTTCTGTTTCTCAGGTTCTATCAATTTTCCCTCCAGCTCAGTGTTTTGCACACCCAACTCTACGTCCCCTCTAGAAGCTATCTGCATTTCCTGGTCGAGCTTATCCTTGTCCTCCTTTAAAGCCTGCAGCTCACATTCAGCTTTGGTCCTCTCTGCCTCAGACTGCGCCAGCTGATCTTCAAGAATACTTTTGGCAGATTTTAGCGTGGCAACTTCTCCTTCCAGCATCTCAATACTCGACCTGAGTGTGGTCTCAATATTCTCTCCGTTCTTCTTACTGTCCTCCTTCAAAGCCTGCAGCTCCGCTTCTGCAGCATGAATTTTCTGCTTCAAATCATTCTCATTCGCCTCAGCATCACGAACCGTGTCTTCAAGGGAACTTTTGAAAGACGTTAACGCCGCAACTTGCTGTTCCAGCTTCTCAATATTCGACCTGAGTGAGGTCTCCACATCCTCACCGTTTTCCTTAATATCCTCCTTCAACGCCTGCAGCTCGGCTTCTGCAGCATGCATTTTCCGCTCCATATCATTCTCATTCGCCTCAGCATCACGAACCACGACTTCAAGGGCACTTTTCATAGACGTTAACGCCGCAACTTGCTCCTCCAGCTTTTTCTTACTCAATGTGAGTGTCTCAATCTCCAACTTGTGATTCTCAATCTCCTCACTAGTTACCTTCAGAATTTCTTGCAATTCAGTCTCCTTGGCTTTCGACTCTGCAACCTGGGCTTCAAGGGCACTCTTGACAGACGTTAATGCTAAGATTTGCTCTTCCAGCTTTTCAATATTCGGCTTGTACGTCTCGGTCTCCGTCTTGTGCTTCTCTACTTCCTCGTTTAATGTCTTGACCAATAGTTCTGTTTCAGACTTCTTAGACTCGAAATCCACAATTTGGGCTTCAAGAGTACCCTTAACATACAGTAGAGATGAAACTTGCTCTTCCGACTGTGTAATATTTGTCTTGTACTTCTCTATGTCCCCATTCAAATCCTTCATCCTGTCTTCCATTTCGAGCATCTTTGCTTCAGACTCCCTCAAACGCTGTTCCAGCTGCTCGATCTTCTCTCTGCTTGGTACAAGTAAGCATGTTAAAGATAGTAATTTAAAAACAATGCAATGGAGGGAGAAAAGGTTGGATGGGGGCGATAAGAACAGATTTTTCAGAGGTGCAAAAGTACCTGTGAGCGAGACCATCAGAAACCTCTGCTTCCAGAGTTTCTTGTTGGAGTTCATATTCATCCTTGATATCACGAAGTGATGCCTCTAACGCAAAAATGCGATCCAAACACTCCCTCTTCTCGCTTTCCACCTGGTCTATTTTCTGACCTAAGTTCTTTCTCTCCGACTCAATATCAGCTTTCAGATGATCCAGCTCAAACCTTAATTTTTCCGACTCCTCTGCAGCTAGTCGAATATCTCCAGCCATTCGAAAGCTGTTATCTTTCTCACGATCTTCGGCTTCACGAAGCTGATGCTTCAAGCTCTCAAGACCGCGTATGCGCTTCTGGAGCTCATCATCCAACTCTTCAATCTTCTCCCTCAAAGCTGCTTCCCTGTCCTTAGCTTTATCATCCAATTCTACCATCCAATTGATTTGATTATTCAAGGTAGGAAGTGCTTCTTCTTCATAATCCTTTATCGTCAGCCTGCAAGAATTATCAAACGTCAAATGAGATAGCAACAATACCAAAACTTTCGAACACCCTGGCTAGATAAAGCAGATCCTAAATGAAGCACATAGTAGCTACAAACACGTACAATGCCGCAAAATAAGCATCAAGTCATTTTAATCTAGAATTTAAATATAAAAAATGACGATTTATCGAGAAACGAAAATGTGACAGATTGTGCAACTCGTATTATTCCCAAACGGAACGTAGCAAACTGGACGTTCTCTTTACATACTCAAAAAGCAGTATCAATGACGCTTACCGTCTTTGTTCACACAAGTCTTGACTTTCTTGAAGCTCCCGTTCTAATTCAGAGATCCGTTTCATTAACCTTTTCTTTTCCTGATTGAGGTTATTGATCTTTTCCAAACTGTTGGCCTGCACCCCAATAAGACCTAGGTGAGATTGCATCAACTCAAGTAACGACTCAACTACTGAACATACATAAGGGTTTAAAGACACCAATGATTGCAAGGGCATGTCGAAGGGAGATGTGACAGCATGCTAGATAATTATAGGCACTCGTCAACTACAAGAGTAAACAATACACTTACCACAATACCAACATTGTTGCCCTTAAACTCCTTCAAGTTGAACTCAAGGTCACGCTTCTCGTCTTCAAGTTGCCTGACAGTCAAGATGGAGTTATCTCGCTCTCGAACCGCCTGCTTCATCTGATCCACCAGCTTGATTATCTCGTCCCTCAATTTCTTTAACTCTGTGTCTTGCTTCACTATTTCGTTTTTCAGTTTCGTGCGCTCTTCATTGTGCAGTTCAGCGTCTACCCGCAGCTGTTTGACCAGTTTGGCCTCCTCCTTCAAATGCACCAGCTTAGCCTCCTGGGCAGCATTGGTTTCTAGTAAACTTGCACGTTCACCCTCATTTCCTGATTTAAGTTTGGCAATCCTGTCGAGTAGCTCGACTTTTTCCTGCTCTGCTACTGACAGCTTTTGTGCCAAATCACGTTTGAGCAGTGAAACGGCTTCAGCATCTTTTTCGGTTTGAGTAAGGAGATTCAAATTCTCTTCCTCTTTAAGTGACAGCCTCTGCTGAATGGCTTCCATATCTTTCCGAGATCGAGCAAGGAGTTCTACATTCTCTTGCTTAACAGCATCCAACCTCTTTTGAGTGGATTCTGCATCTCTCCGAGCTCGTGCAAGAAGCTCTTGATTCTCTTGCTCCTTCAAAGATAGCCTCTGAAGAGATTCAGCATCCCTCAGTGCTCGGGCAAGAAGATCTTTGTACTCTTGATCCTTCAAATCTAGCCTCTGCGCCGATTCAGCATCTCTCCGAGCTCGAGCAAGGAGTTCCTGGTTCTCTTGCAGCACAGCATCCAACCTCTTTCGAGTGGATTCCTCATCTTTCCGAAGTCGAGCAACGAGTTCTTGGTTCTCTTGCTCCTTCAAAGATAGCCTCTGAAGGGCTTCAGCATCCCTCCGAGCTCGGGCAAGGAGCTCTTGATTCTCTTTCTCCTTCAAAGATAGTCTCTGAAGCGATTCAGCATCTCTCCGAACTCGAGCAAGAAGGTCTTGATGCTCCTGCTCCTTCAGAGACAACCTCTGTTCAATAGATTCAGAATCTCTCTTAACTCGGTTCTGAAGCTGCAGGTATTCTTGATCTTTCAAGGATAACCTCTGCTCCATCTCTTTTTTAACGGCTGCAAGAGCTTCCCTTCGGTCAATAGCTGCTTGATTCCTGGAGGCATCGATCTCTTTTCGTAGGTTTTCAACTATGGCATCTTTTTCAGCGATCGTTTTCTTCCTCGACTCACGTACTGAATTCAGTTCCGAATTGAGCTCTGCGTTCATTTTCTTCAGTTGTGTAATCATTCGCCGATCCTCTTCAGAACTGTCACGAAACGAAAACAATGTTAAATTCCTAATAGTGATGACTGATTGAAGACGGTGCCAAAACTTCATGCAAATTTTACTTCACTGTAAGAATATAAATTAATACACACAGGGCATGACCACGATATCTAAAATATGCAGCAGCTTTTAGTCTCTGAACTCTACAAAATGCACAGAAAACTCTTCACACCATCAAAAAAAGAAAAAGAAAAAAACCTAAGAAGTATTTCCATCACCTGGAACTATTCTTATCATCTCGCTTGGGCGTAGCAGAATATGAATGTCGCTCCTCCTCTCGCTTCGGCTTATCTTTCTTCTGAGGAGGATAGCTGGGGGTTTGCCACGAGTTGTTGGCAGCTGGTGGATAGTGCTGATGTGAAGGAAGCGGTTCATGATAGTGAACCGAGGGAGGACTTGATAGAGAAGGGTGTGGAGAGTATGCATCAGGTTCGGGAGGAGGAGGAGGGTAATGGGCAGCGTAACCTGTGTAGGGGGGATTGGGATAAGGCGCTAGTGCTGGCGCTGGATCTGGGTGTCCTAGGTCCGGCCGAGTGGGTTGTGGCATACCCGCATTAGCCGCTGATGAAGCATAATGATCGGGCTTCGGATCATTGTACGACTGATTGAGATACGCATCATATGGGTTCCACATTGCGACGGATTAACTTAAGCAGTGGAATAGTGGTGATCTACTAGCTGTGATTCGGAAACAGAGATTCAAAGTCCAAGATCCAATCTGCACAGACCACACAAAAAAGAAAAAAGAAAAACAAAAACAAAACAAAATAAGTTACCTCCGAAGAAGCCCTTGCATTCGCAGAGATAACAGAGTGCGAAATGAAGCTCAATGGAAGAGGAGGTAGGTGAGTATGTTTGTTCAATACACTCTCATCGATTTGTGAGCACTGAGGTATTCTTACAATCTAGTGCTTGACTTCCGATAAATTCTAAGATCGGAGAAGCAAACAACCACAACTAAGTGACAAGATGGCAAGGACGACACAAAGGAAGATCGATCGAACAGTTCATTTGCTTTCATTCGCAAATTACCCTTGCAAGTAAAGCATTACAATACTCAAGTACCCTCTAAGGTAACAGCCTTGATCAATTACTACACATACAGGTAGGTCTCAATTTTCACACACAGATTTCAGATCCCTGCACCGCAAGAAATCCGTCCACTTCTGCTAAATCTGCTCAAGCCTCGAGAAACACCCTCAGAAAACGAACACTAAATCTCTCCCAGATAAACTCCAAATTCGAAGCACCTTGAGAGTGGTGAGGTACGAATCTACGAAGCATTCACTTCACCCCAAACATCCACAAGACTGCAAAGATCCCCGGGTTTCAACACCGCGTACCTTATGATATACACACACACACACACACACCACGCACGCATTGCACGTTGTACAGAAATTGCAACCAAATCGGCACAATCCACACCAAAAAAAAAATCTCGTGCGCGCGGCTTCTCTGCCGGTACGCAAACCTTTGAATGCTAACCTCAAAAATGTTGAATCCCGCCAAAACCCACAGCCCATAAGCTGAAACGCTACTCACGGATCCTTGCCGCGGAGTGAACAGCGGCAATTCTAACAACAACAAAGGACAAGGTGGGGAAATGGGTGATGGGACTCACCGCACAGGACACGCTCTCGGCTCCTACGCAGCAACCGACAAGCAGCGTGAGCTGAGACTCGCGCAAGTGGTACAGTCAACGAGGCAGCGTCATATTCGCCTCCGTTAGCATTTGCGGTCCGGAAGGACCTGTCGATTTTGCTGAGCAAGTCTTATCACGCACAATAGGCATTCGCATTGGAGTATCGGAAACAATGTTTACCATATTATTTGCTTCTCACCGCTGAATTTTCTACATCCGATATGCTTGGTCAATGTTCATCCGTTCGCGACTTGTGAGATGCGTTTAGTCGATGGTTCTTCCACCAGAACCTTGTGCTACCAAATTCCATGTCAAGCGAGAGGGAGTCTATCCTACGCGTCGATGAATGCTACGTGGTACATGAGGCTACGCGGGGAGGCTACGCGGGTGCTGGACGCTGCTCAAGCGGTGTGTGTAGGGCGACCACATAGCGTTGTCGCTTTTTGCTGTGTGCAGACAATGAGCCTGCACGAGCCGGGGTGGAATTCCCGTGTTGCGGTTTAGTCGCAAGGTGTGCACGTGTGGAGATAGCTCACTGGGGAGAAGCTACTGATTGCAAACGAGGCAACATTCTGAGGTGTGCGAGATTGCAAGTGACCTTGTTGGTGGTTATGGCTGTGTTCTGGCACGGCTGTGATCTAGTCCTGCGAGGAGAAATGCTGTTTTGTGCCTGTGGACTTTGAGGGGAGCTAGAAGGCTATGTGGCTGGTGAATGTGGGGAGACGGTGAAGAGATTGCCGGTGTGTATATATTCTGATGTATGTCCGGCATTAATGTGTGAATACACATCAGAGATTGCACTAAGCTTACTTGCACTGCCAAGGCAAATTCACCTACTTATCATCAACGATTCATGACCAAAGCCAGGTTTCGTGTTTGCCGCAGCGTCCAACTTCTCTGACTGATGGACAGATACTTCGCACATCGAAGTTGTATGCTTGATATTCATAAAGTTGCATACTTGGTAGGTAGGTTCTATGATAACGTCCAATTTAATTTCCGGATGATTCCCGGTTGTAAAAAAAACTTGAAGATTATCATGTAACAACCCAAAAATCATCTCCATTTTGTTCTGCTAAGATATTTCATGTTTCTAACGTAGATGGAAAAACTCACTATCATTTAAATAAACTATGTGAGTGATGCTAGTAATTGTTAACAGACGGCTGGCACGAAACACCCACAGACTTTGCTTATGTGACTAATCATGTACAGTAACCATATCCTAACTGCCATCACAAATCACCTAAGGAAAGGCACTTTCGGATACAATTCACAGAATGATACAATCTAGAGAGAATAGTAGGTCTGGGTTGACTCAAACTCGACCACAGTTGGAAATTTTTGAAATATTTATTGAAATTTTATATTTTATATTTCTTGAAGTAAAAAAAGAGAAAGAAAAAGTGGAGACAAGACATGCTACTAATATCTGAACAGATGCTGAAAAAGACGTTACACGAGACACCAATCTGTAGAACTCTGAATCTCTAAGGCATGAAACAATTGACACAACTATTCGACCAATAAGATGTGGCTGTGAGTCTAATCAGCACGGGACTGTCCTGCACGGGAAGACAAAATGATGCCCACAATCAGCCCGTATAAGGCAAGAGCCTCAGCGAAAATGAGAATCAAGATCATTCCCACGAAAAGCTTCGGCTGCTGGGCATTGGCTCTGCGCACAAAAAAATAAACCCTCCGGTCAAACCCCCGTGCATGTATTTACCAATGGTAGGTTATGATCCAAAAGTCAGCTCTGAATTTGAATCGAAGAAAAGAGACAAGATTCACCATTCAACCTATGTGTTACACATTTCTTATAGATGTGCTCAGATCTTGAATTATTACCTGACCCCAGCATCTCCAACAATACCAATGGCCATGCCAGCGGACAGACCAGCTAGACCGCACGACAAACCAGATGAAAGGTGAGCATAGCCGTCGAACACGTAGTAGGGCTTCGACTTAGGGTTGATTCCGGTACTAATGATCACGGCGATAATTAGCCCGTAAATACCCAACACTCCAGCCATGACCACTGGGACGATGGACTTCATCACTAGCTCAGGTCGCATGACACCCATAGATGCCACTCCAACTCCACTTTTGGCCGTTCCATAGGCAGCGCCCATGCCTGCGCCAACAACATCGTAGTCAAGGAACGCGGTTTCACAACTGTACAAAATGATTCACTGCACATCGTCTCACTTTCCCAACAGTGACACAGTGGTGGCATTTCACACAACTGTCAAACATGTGATCACCACCCATGGATGGGAAACGATGTATCTGCTACAATCTTCCACCCTACTCAATTCACGTGAATATAAAATGTTCGACAAAACATATTTCACGACAAGACAAAAATCACATCAGCAAAGACTACGCATGAATGAAACTCATGAAATGCTAATGCCCTAACACGGATAGTTCATTAATTCCTCTCATCGCATCCGGAGATTGTGTATTCAACAGCTACAGTGCGAGAAATCAAGCGATGCTCGAACTCAATATTCAGAAAGAAAAAAAAAAAAAAAAAAAAAAAAAAAAACTCGATCACCACAAACAGATCCTAAAACAGACTACACACGTGGCCACGAGGAAAGACCATAGGCATCACAGCTGTTCCAAATTTTTAAAGAGCATCACACAACATTAGTGCAGAATCAAAGCAATACACGGAAAATTGCCATAATCAGATCAACAAAAACTCATTCCTGCGGAGAAAAACCTAACCACACACCCAAACCCTGATAATGAATCACTCAAAGACAAACAAATGCTCTGGGCAACAGATCCACCGCAAAAAGGGAACGTACATGAAAAGACAAGGGCAGCTGCAGCTCCGATGAAGCCGAAGAAGGGAGCGACCTCATCTCCATTGAACGCCGCGGCAGTCGACATGATGATCGAGAAAGAATCCCACGCGAACTCGGCGAGAGCAAGAAATCCAGCGTCGAAGAATGAGAAACAACACGAGAACCTCCACGAGAGTAATGGAAGGAGGCACAGTGGGGCATAATAAAAAGGAGAGCTCGTAGGGGACGGAAGCAGCGACGGACCCGACGAACGAACGAAACTCAAACGAACGTTTACTGGCGAACGAACCCCGACGATATTCAATGGAATCTTTTATACAAGATCTTGATTCCTTTATTCTTCCTCAATTTTATTCTCTTGATACTTATAATTATGATAATAATTTTTTTATTCTTTTGGTCTCACATCTTTGATTGAGGGTAAACTTATTGATTTAAGGGTAATATTTGAAGTTACAGATAATCTTTTCTTTTCTTTTTTAATTTTTTATTAATATTTATAGTGTTTGTAAGTGTAAGTATTACTTTACACTTCGATCATGCTTAGGAATGATTGATATAAGATGAAGAATGTGATGTTCAGTGTGTGAGGGAAGATTTGAAGGATGATGTAAATTATTGTGAAATGCTATATTTTTTCTTATTAATACTTGAAAAAAAAAAAAAAAAAAAAATCACAATTGTAAATCTATGTAATGAAAATTTTAGCAAGCTTTTACTAATCTGGAAACCGTTTGAACCATTTTAATATTTTTTTCTCTTTGACTGTGATAAACTCTGTTTTGAATATCTTACACCTTTTTTTCATAAAATAATAATAATAATAATAATCTATCTAAAAAAATATCAACTGTTTTTGTGCACAAATTTCAATTTTAAATTAACTTTAGAAACCTCAAAAATAGAAAAAAATTATCATAAATGCATAAACAAGTTTTAAGAACACTTTTGATTTATTAGAATAATTATTACAATTGACTATGCTATAATCAAGAAATTATTAAAATCGACACATTATATTCACATACCTTTTAGCATATACAACTCTATTATGTATTTCTCCTTCTTTTAATTCTTTATATATATATATATATATATATATATATTCAAACATGCATATAGACTGAGATTTTTATGAGCAATTTGCAACCAGACCATTATAATTTTAATTTTGAACGTTATTAATTATCTGCTTGTAAAATTCGATTCATAATTCTTATAAATTTCCATTTAAAAATAAACAAAAAAACAAAAAAAAAACAAAAAAAAAACGTTGTAGGACAAAGAAGTGGTTATTTTTATTTACTATGCTCCTAAGGTAATATGTTTATATATATAGATATATATATATATACTTCTGTAATTTCTTCAATTTCATATAAATATTTAAACTTTTCAAATGTTAATTTTTTCTTTCATTTTTGATTTTATACATATAATTTAAGCTTGAACTATTTTACACAAACAAAAACATGAAAAATTAATTAAATAAAGATTACATGTGATAAAAGTGAAATGGTTGAAATATATATTATTGCTGGAGCCCTTGCTTTGCATTGGATAAAAAACAAATGTAAAGATTTTATTGTCTTGCACTTAAGGGATATATCAACATTTGAATATTTCACTGTAAACAACATTTTCAGTATATTTAATATCATTAGAAAGTAATCTGATGATATATTTGGATTTAGACTTTGCCAATGCAAAGCAAATACTTTGCAAAGGATATATTTTCTTTTCCTTCTAATCCATTATCTTGGAAAATTTTCATAGTAGTTGTAAGTGGCATTTCTTGTATAGATGGTTATAAATAAGAAAGTTTCAAATTCACATTAATTATTTGTGTTCTACTTCCATAACAAAGAACAACCAAAATTTGTCAAAAGTCTTATTCAACATAAAAAGTTTTTCACCAATTGGCTGATGATCACCAATTATATCACGTAGCAATCTATCCATACCTTTAAAGATTGCCTTATTGGTCATTGGAGTTTCATCTCAAATAAATATCTTAGCAACTTTAAGCAATATTCTTCAATTTGATTCTTTTGTGATGTTGTAGTTTGTTTGGATATTAAGATTAAATAAGATCATAAAATAGAATGAATTATTTTCCTACTTAGGAATAGGAATACTACAATGCCTAAATGACAAAATCTATGGCATATTTTTCTTTTTTCTTATAATAAATTAAAAAAAAAATGAAAGTAAAAATTATTATTCTATCAATGAGACCATCAATAAGAAATCATCTTTTATTACAATTGGCATCATTTTCAATAGCAATAATTATATTATACACAACTAATTGGTCATTGTTTAATAATAAAATTGTATTTAGAATAATATTGATCTCAACACGATAATATAACATATGATTTGCAAAAAATTAGCCATCTTAAGAAAGTATTAACTAATTTGCAATCTCTTTATATAAATAAAATAGATTAAGAAATTTAATCAAATATTTTCTATTTTATAAAAATTATGACTAAATATCTAATAAAACTTTGACAATAGTAGTGAAATGATTGACAACAACAAAACTTTATTACAAATACAAATCACAAATAAAATCTTTGGTCATAAGGTGTTAAAGATAAGAACTTGATGAAAACAAATAAACAAGTGAGACTTTGTGAAAGACAAGAACTTAATAAAAAAATAAAAAATGAGACTTTTTTAAAGAAATATGAAAAAATAGAAATAGAGAAGTATGTATGTTAAAAAACAAATTGGAACGACTATTGCCAAAAAACTAGGAAAATAGAGACTCTTGAAACTAGACTAGAAGCAAGAAAGGAATTCACAACAATGAAGAAGGCTTCACTCTTGCATCTATATATACTATTTATGTAGGATCTATGTGGCAACATTCTATAGGACTTCCAAAAATGTGTTAACTTTGTGTGATACATATCTTAACTTGCAAGGCAAGTTTTCTATATGGGAGCCACATAATTAGCTTGTTCCACAAGATATCAATACATGTGGCATGTGGTTAGCTTATTGACTAAGTTTCTAATCTATTAATCAACCACAAATACATGTAAAGTCAAAACAATGTCTAAGAAAGCTTCTAAAAAATGAAGCTTTCTTAAAAGTATTTTTTTAGAAGATATTATGAAATTAATCTACTTTTATTTACTTCTACCTATTCATATTACCTAAATAATAATTAAAATAAACATAAGTCCATAACATTACCCTTCTTTCTAGAAACAAGTTTCATGAGGAGTGGTGATCATATATCAAAGAAATCTAAGATGCGACAAATTGTATTTGCCACATACTTTCATTGATATCAAAGCGAGTCTTAGATTGTTCTTTGGTAGTGTATTGATAGCCATCATCTAATTCATAGTCAGTTGATGTGGTCATATATGGTATTTATTTGAAGCTATGATGAGCTACTTTAAAAAAGTCAATTAGAAGATGAGAAGGCATTAGAATAATAGAGTTTAGTAAGAAAATTATACCATGAGAGATATGGCAGAGCAATCCTAGATGGGAGCTAAAATACAACACCTTTTAGGCCAAATAACTACTTTACAAAGGCAAATAAAAGCTTTTAGAATAAAAGAAATGACATTTGCTAGGTTGAAATTGAATAAGCTTAATACATACTCTAGAACTTCAAGGCAAGAAGATGTATGTGAATGGTTCTTCAATATGCAATAATATCTCCAACTATATAGAGCAAATACTATTGAAGGAATTATTTATACAACCAACTATTTGAAAGATGCGGTAGTTATTTTGTAGCAATATTGAATTCAAAGCTATAGAGCTTAAGGTAGATTTTGTGATTAGAAGCAATTTGAGACCGAGTTTAAAAATCAATTTGGTCCATCAATATAGAGAAGATAGTATGCAATCAATTGAAAAATCTTATACAATCTAAGTTAGTGCAAGATTATGTCTCTCAATTTAAGTCCCTATATTTTCAAATTTGCAATGTTTCAGAGGCAAAGATGATGGATCAATTTCTACAAGGTTTGAAACCTCGGGTACATTTAGAGCTAAAACTAAAGGATCCACAAACATTTAAAGAGATAATTAGGATTGTAAAGAAGGTCGATGCTATAGATTTCAAAAATTAAGGAGCACAATCTATTGCACAAAGTCCTATGTCACTATCAAATACTATAGTACAACAATCAATACCAATAGAGATTGATGTACTACAAAGATCATTGATATCACAAAGATAAAAAATATTGGTGCAAAAGGAATTGTGTTTTTATTATTGAGAGCCACACCATCAGATTAGAGGTTGTCCAAAACGTCAAAATTCAAGTACCAACAAAAGAAGATAGGTTTACAATCTCAAGACTCACCAACTTTGTTATTAGAATGATCTTTCAATAAGTCTTTGATAAGGGCCTTTAATTTGAATCGTGCAAACCTAGAAGAGTAAAGCGTAATTACTTTACACATGATCAAGATCAATTAGTAATCATACATGCTACAAATTTGTGATAATAATATCTATTGAGAAAGTCAATGGTTGTTCGGACTGACCATTGATCATTGGTATATAACTTGCATCTAAAAAATATGAAATCATAAAATCTTAGAAACTAGACTTAAAGGCCAAATTGAGGGACAAGACAAAAGTTGCTACTATTCATTATGTCATTTCAAACATAACCAAAGACGCAGAATGGAAGGAAGCTATACATGAAGATGCTTATTTCAAGATGGTTAGCAATTGATTAAATGTGGATAATATATAATATTAAGATTATAGTCTTAGTGATAGCTTATTCTATTTTAAGAAGCTAATTTATATACATGACAATACTATATTTCAAACATGCGTACTTCAAAAAAGACATGAGATCTCAATATCTAGACATGCAAGGCGAGATAAGGCTTTAGAATAAATCTCAAGGATATGATTTTGGACAAATTTTGATTATGATATTTGAGCTTTTGTGCATTTCTATAACACATGTTATTATTATAAAATACACAATGTAGCATCTTTTGGACTATGCAACCAATTTCTTCACCTATGACACATTAGGAGCATGTGACTATAGATCTCATTACGTGTTTATTGCAAATGCTTCATAATTATACTACAATTGCCATCTTTGTAGATCAATTCTTAAAGCAATTTTACTTGGCAGTGGTGCGCTTGAATATTGATGCCCTAGCACTTGTACAAGTCTTCTTT